TGATTACTGTGTTGGATATTGCAATAACACAACTGATTTAAAAAGTAAAACTGCTACTAGTTTGTGTATGAGCATCAGACAGAGACACAACACGACTCTTGAGCGAAGAGAAAAGAGGCAGGGTTATCATCACATGAGCTCAAATCATCACTAAATGTAAGAAATCATGTGGGGAAATAAAGTAAATAATGTAAACAACAAAGTATCAGTCTGAATATTTTCTATGTAATTTAAATACTCCTTTTGGTTTTACCAAATTTGGTTTTACCAAATACTTAGGATTGATTTGCACAGCCCTACACAACAGTTTGATACAAAAAAACAAAAACTCTGTAAACACGTCATTTTAGCAGTGCAATAAATATTAAAACAGCTGATGAACAATGTTGGTAAATAGAGCAGGTTTTGTCAGACTATTTCACTTATTATGACTATTACAAAAAGTTTCAAAAGTTCTCAAGTATTTACCAGACTGTTACAACACATATATTTATTGATGATGGATTAAGATGATTCCATGTATTTGATTTTGGAAGATCATATTATTTTTCTATGCAGCTAACCAAGTCAAACCAGGTCACAATATTATTTACTTTCAAATATATTGAAAAAAAACCTTTCTCATTAGCATATAGAGTTCCGTCATCATGGTACATCATGTGCTGTCGCATCACTTCGGAGGTGTATAAGGGAGAGTTGAGTTCCGGTTGTCCACTTTCGTCCAGGACGGAACACAGATAGCAGCATATCTCAAGCTCTCCTCAACTTCTACAAGTCACCAGCTCAAACAAAGCTTCAGCTCCTGTTCACATCGGATACGTGGTAAGTAGTCGCTGTTAGTGGTCACTGTAACTCTGAAAACGAGACACAAATGAAAAAAAATCACACTGGACTGCTCTGTCAACATGTTTTGGTCCGTAATGTTGTTTCTACACACAACTCATGAGTTTTATGATTGTACTACTTGTTACTTCAAAATAATAGGACTTAAGTACATGTACATAGTGTTTCAACAAGTTACTCAAGTAAGAGTAAAAGGTATTTGGGAAAACTAGTTCTCAAGTAAAAGTAATTATAGAGTAACTGTCTGGACATAACATCTGATTTGCAAATTGTAGCTTGGAGTGATGAAATATTTCAAAATGCACATGGTGTATTCAAAGATCAGATTGTAGACAGTGTTAATAAAACACCATCAAACATGTTTACGTGTTGTAGTAGTTTAAAGTGCAAAATATGATGTTGGCTCTTAAGTATGTTGAGTTAAAATGTATTTGTGTGTTTTTACAGATATCCATGCACAACAGGACAATGACATCAGAAGTTAAGGTGTTGGGTCATATGTCAGCCCAAATTGAAGCCATATTGGAAGACCGTATCAATATGGACACTGATAGCACCACACGGTCATTGAACTCTCCTGCCAAACCAGGGCCCTCCAGATCACATGGGCCTTGTCCAAGAAAAAACTATTACTCTCCTCGGGACAATCCTTACGCCAGAGCGGAGAGCCCTCTGCAGGTGGCAAAACAGGCCAGTGGTGAAAGAAAATCACCTAACGCCAGCAGCCCAACGGCGTCTACATCAAAGGTAAACTCCCATCCCACACAAACACTTTCACACAGGACACGGAGCTATTCCAACTTTTGCTACGTCTTTCTTATATCAATCTTAAAACTTAATATCAACCTTAAAACTGTAGTTATGATGTGTTGTTTTTGAAGTTATAACCCATTATATAGTGCACCTTTAAGTTATGCAAACTAAAAAAAGTATTTGTGTGTTTTTACAGATCCAAGAAATGAAAACGCCGCTTGAGGCATTGTCAGAGTACGATGACGTGTTTATTGCTGAAATTGAAGCCATTTTGCATGACTTTATCAGTGAGACAACTGAGGACACATGGTCACCGGGCTCTCCAGCGAAACAGGGGCCCTCTCCATCGAAGGTAAACTCCCATCCCACACAAACAAGTTACACATAGAAACAGTGCGATTCAAACTTTTGCTAGGGATTTCTTTATATCAACCATAAAACAGTTGTTATAATGTGGTGGTAGATCATTTAAAGTGTTTTTTTTTTTTTTTTCTGTAGGAGTTGGAACCCGTTACAGAGGAAGAGAAGGAGATGGCAGCCGAACTTGAAGCCATGATGAACGGCTTTATAAGTGAGGACACTGAGAGGAGCACTGGACTCTCCAGCAACACCGGGGTCCTCCAGATCACACGGGCCTTCTCCAAGGAAAAACTTTTATTCTCCTCGGAATAATCCTTACTCCCGATCGGAGAGCCCTCTGGAGGTGGCAAAACAGGCCAACGGTGCAAGAAACTCACCTAAAGCCAGTCCCCCTCCGCCCTCTGCATCACAGGTAAACTCCCATCCCACACACACACTCACACACAGGACACAGTGCTGTTCAAACTTTAGCTGGTTTTCTTTATATCAGCCACTATTTTTTTTTCTGGACGTTAACTTTTGGTGCTCTAAAGTTGCATTGTGTAGCTTTTCTGGTGGAGGTTCTGTCAAATGCTTTTGGAGATGTTATTGCTTTATCTGAAATGTTTCACAGTATGGTATTACACCTTTCTATCTTCATGGAGACCAAACCGGACCAAGTTACAGGTCAGGTCTGTGGAGAGGCAACCCCGCTCACAGTCACAATGCCTGTTTTCATTTTTGAGCTACAAAACTACCTGTAGTTTAATAAATGTAAGGTAGAGCTGATTTGTTTGTGTGCTTTTACAGATCCAAGAAACGTCAATGTCGTCGGACTATTCGACAGACACCGACGAGGACGCGATGGCAGAACAAATTGAAGCCATGTTGGACGGCCGTGTTAGTATGGGCACTGGTAATGAAGTTCCACCAACATCTCCTGTGGACTTCCAGATGCCATCAGCGTTGCAACACCAAATTGCTGAATACTACAGGGCTCAGAATTCAATTAAAAATTCTGCCCTGGGAAATACCACACGGTCCCCAGTCTCCCAGGTGATATCAGGCCCATCTTCACAAGTTGGACCTGCCCCAAGGAGAAACTTTTACGCTCCTCGGAACAGTCCACCGTACTCCAGACCAGCTGCACCAACATTAGCATTGCCTACTGCTCGTCACGTTGAGCCACCAACACTGATGGTCCAGTCCAATCCTCCAGAGAGAGTCGTACTATCTAACACGGGGAACAGTCAACCAACCTGGAGCCAGTACCAGCCTGGACCATCTACACAAATGGCAAATCCACAAATGCCATGTGCAATTGTCAGACCCTCAAATCTTTGTCCAGTTATAATCAATGGGAGAAAAATGTTCCAGATAACTGGACCAATAGGAGCGACCAGTAATACAGCCCAAGCACCAGTCAATCGTGACATGAAGCCATACATCAAAAAACCTCCTAACGACTTCATGTTGTACAAGGCTGAGCAGAGGGAACTTATTATGAAAGAATTTCATATAACAAATTCGGCGGAGGTGAACAAAATTGCTGGGGCGAGATGGACAACGCTCTCAGACAATGAACAAGCCCCATATTTCGAGCAGGCAAGAGCGGCTCAGAGGGAGCACGAGGCCAAGTTCCCAGGGTGGTCCGCCAGTGATAACTTTGGGCGGAAGAAACGGAAACGCAACACAACAACACCTGCAGCTTACACCCACCCCGCAGCTCCAGCAGGTCCCGCTCAGCCTTCATGGAACTACCGTGCGATGATGGTCCCACTGGGTTATAATCGAACAGTCCCACAAATGACTGGATATACAAACCCAACAACAGTTCCCACAGCTCCCTTTCAGACCATGTACTACAACCCAGAAATGATGGTGGGTCCGACCTACCAGCCAACAAATATTAAATAAACAAGTACACGAAGAAGTAAAGGAGGCAAGGACATGTGATGAACATGTTATGTTGTAAATAAAAGTTTTCTGTCAATCAGTCATTGTGTAAATTGATGTATTTTTACCCAAGATCCAGACCAGTCATTCATAAAAATAAATAATAATAATAATAATAATAATAATAATAATAATAATAATAATAATAATAATAATAATAATGTAGTGACTATTTGTCAAATAAAAGTAACAAACAAAAGCGTGAGGAAACTCAGAACTAAACATAACTCAGATAATCACCTTTGGGCACCATGGGTATGTGGTTTACGCAGTACAAATCAATGTCCATGACTAGAGATGATTTTCCAAGATTTATTTTCCAGTTTTTTGGCAAGCAACAAGGAATACATGTTTAAGACGACTCCTGCTGCCTCTCCTCGTGACTGGTAAAAAACCATAGGCCCACCCAGGTGCACTCTGGTCCATGTGTACCAGCCTCCTTTATCCCCTAGGTGACCCAAATTAAACCAAAAACAAAAAAGAGGTGCAAACGTAAATAATACCAACTTAGACTAAGAAATTAGCAAGAATAATATTAACATAGCAAAAATATATTATACAAATTAACAAAACTAAATTAGTAAGCTAACTAACAAACGAAAATAATAAACGCATTTTAGAATCAACAAAATAAGCAAATAGCTCCTACAAATAATAATACAATGTATTTATTATAACAGCATAATTTAAATACTATTCAAACATACAGTTAAAGTGGGACAGTATTTTAATTGATTGATTGAAATGAATTGAATTGAAGTGGCCTCCATGAGCTATCAGCTGTTCTTCCTGGAGGTAGCAACATATACTACCTATGTAGCATGTTTTGCAACATGCTACATAGGTAGTATATGTTGCTTGCTTAACATATGTAAAATTTAGCAGACACAACTGTCTTCACCCTCCATGAAATTCGATTCATATAGATATGCTATTCATATAGATACATACATACATACATGCATACATACATACATACATACATACACACATACATACATACATACAAACTGAAAAAAAAGTTCACAATTATTTCGATTAGTCTGAGGATAATATTCTGTCATACAATGTTAATATACACAGTAACTAAACACATGTAATGTCACTTTCTACAGTCGAACCCCAGAGTAAACACATTCAGTGTTGGTGCTGTCGGCGTGACTTCTCGGTCTGCTGGAGCTCTGATGCTTTAAGGCCGCGTAGTGGATGTCCTCTTCATTCTGACCAAATGATAAACAAAAATAAAACTTACATTTAAATATACAATACAATTATACACAATATATGTCCTACCTCTGCGGTCATGGTAGGTTGTGCTGAAAAGAAATGCATCAGAGTTTAGTTATGGAACTGATATTTTAAAATATATTTATGATCATACAGTAATGTTACTCACATTTCTTCTTGATCTTGTAAATCACCAGTGAAAGTAACACACACAGGATTAAAGTCCCCACCAAAGCTCCACTCAAGACTTGTACCAGTACTGAGGGCGTGGACTTGTCTGAAATAAGAATGTAAACAGTGCAGAGTCACTAAATTGTTACTCTTGAATTTACTGTCATCTTAATTTCTTGTCTCCCTGGAGATGTTATCGCTGTATCTATCATGTTTCACATGATGACATAAGACATGTCCATCTCCATGGAGACCGTTATTGAATGCATAAAAAGAGGAGTTTATGCAAGAGGGCCCAACCCAGATGCAAATCAACACTACGCATAATAGCAAATAAGATACATTTCAAAACTAGATACATTTCTGAGCAGGTATTGATACTTTGAATGCTTTCAAAAGTAGTATGACCACATGTTGAATTAAAGAAACTACTGTTATTCTGTGTTAATATTGCAGCATATTGAAGTATGCTGCAATATGAAGTATCCTATAATTCAGCTGCACCCTGGGCTGTGTGCAGCAGCTGCATATGTTCAGTCAGAGGGAGGGTCAGCAAAGCCATTTCATAAATTCTGACAGATCAGGTAGTGGACAGGGAGCTGCAGGTGGATGTCATTGACAACATGTTTCACACTTTACGATAAAAAAACATCTATGTGTAGGAAAGTGTCTCAATGCTAATGCTAATTTCTGTCAAAATGTGACATCTACTATAACAACAAAACATATTGGTTAATGACAAATAAGAGACTTGACTTACTGTACATTTCTATCCTTGTTCCAGGACCAAGCATCGTGTTTCCACAGGCAGTCACCACACAGAGAAAAGTCCCATTTTCAGCTGAACCAACTTCTGTCAGGATCAGGTTATGAACACATGAAGTTTCTCCGTCTTCTCTCACCTCACAGTTCATACTGATGTTCTCAAAGTTCCATGAAACAGTTTGAGAACCACTTTTAATCCAAGTGACACTGGTATGTTCTTGTGGACAGAGGCTGGGGTTAAATGAACAGCTGAGAGTCACAGAGTCTCCTGGCTGCACTCTGATATATTCTGGACTCTGGAGCACAGACTGCATGAGCTTTGACTCTCCTTCAACCTCTACAATGGTCCCTGATCCAAACGTCACATCTTCCAGGTTCAAAACTCCACAGTAGTACGTACCATCATCCCCCCACTCTGCATTCAATATCTTCAAAGTACTGACCACAGGGGACAACTTAACAGAGAAACGATTTCTAAACTTCTCAGAGACAGTACTGTGATTAAACAAGACATCAGTAGAAGCGAGCAGCTCTAATCTCCTGTTGTGTGTCAGTTTGTACCACACGCTGGTTCTCCCACTGCTGTAAATGTGACATGTAATTTCCACCGTTTCTCCAACTTTCGCTCTTTGAAAAGAAATTCTTTGAAGGACTTCAGGCTCCAAAGCTGCGCCTGAGAAGATAAAGAAGTATGCTTATTAGGTCTAAAAATCATTGAAAATCTTTTAAGTAACACATTTATATCTTAGATGGATTAGCTACTTACTCAGGGACCAAAGCAGGAAAACACTAAAAGCATTCAGAATCATCATCATGTCTGTTGGTGAAAGACAGATTGTGACTGGCTGACGTCAGTGCAGGCTATATGAAGGTGATAGAGGAGCTTTCTGATTGGTTAAGAAAAGCCATCACGTGTCATGTGATAGGCTGACTGCAAAATTTCCATTGGTTTGTTAAAAATAGCTTCTGTAAGACACAATGAAATGTGTGAATATTGCTATGGTTTATTGTACTGTACCTTAGATGATTTCACTGTACAATCTCTTACTCTATTGGAGGCAAATGTTTTTTCCATAGACACCTGAAAGAAATTAAACAAGATTTGTGAATCATTTAAATAACTTGATCATAGTGATTTATAAATTGATAACTTCAAATTATTGTATTTAGGTAGATCATGATATGAATAAGAGTAGATAAAAACAGATGTCGTGTTTAAAGCTCAAAACCACACAGTGAGATGGAGTCTTTTGTCTGCTACACTGGACTAAGATTGTATCTAATCTGTTCTGTGAGACTGGTGGTCTGTACCACATGGAAACTTTCTGTGGTCATATATACAAGTGCACACCTGCAGCGTCTTATCTCATTTGAGTTGCCTATTGATGAGCAGTTAAGGTGTTTCTAATCTAAAAAAAAAGGTCAGTTCAGTTATTATATTACAATTCTTATTAAATCATTTGACTTATTCCCTTAGAAATAAAACAGTTTTGTTCAAAAGAAAATGAAACAGCATATTGAAAACAAGTTAAATTTCAAACAAAGTCGATGTTGTTTAAAATAATAATAATAATTATAATAATAATAAAAAAAATGTAAAAAGTAATGTAAGATAAGAGAACCTTTTGTAGAATGAGCTGTGGGAAACATATACATGCGGCGCTGTAGTCTATAATAGTCTTTATAAAAGGGGAGTTTTTCCCGTCAGTTGCGCTCTCATTTCACTCACTTTAAGCCTCCCCGATGTCTAGCCCGTTCTTAGTTGAGGCAGGCAACCCTCAAGGAGAGGGACAGAGACAAACTCAGGCCAGTCCAAAAGGAGCTTAAAAAGACACTCTGGCGGGACTACAAAAATAAAGTGGAGAGTAGACTGTGACTCAACAGCATCCGAGAAGTGTGGAATGGGATGAGGAACATCACTGGCTCTAAGAAGAACAGCCAGAGCACAGTCGGTGATGTGAGCAGGGCAAATGAACTGAACCAATTCTTTAATAGGTTTAATTATCCTGTGACTGCTGTGCCTACTCCAGTAACACCACATGGTGGCGCTATCTCTCCTCTGCTTGCAGTTCCACCCAAATCTATGACCGCTGTCCCTATAACATCCACAGCCTCCCTTTCCATCAGTGCTGCTGAATAAGTGAGTAAATCCAGGGGTCCCAGGTGTGGCACTCACTGTGCAGGAGGTGAGGACTGAGCTTAAAAGGCTGTGCCCAGGTAAAGCTCCAGGTCCAGGTAAAGCTCCAGGTCCAGGTAAAGCTCCAGGTCCAGGTAAAGCTCTAGGTCCAGGTAAAGCTCCAGGTCCAGGTAAAGCTCTAGGTCCAGGTAAAGCTCTAGGTCCAGGTAAAGCTCCAGGTCCAGGTAAAGCTCCAGGTCCAGGTAAAGCTCCAGGTCCAGGTAAAGCTCCAGGTCCAGGTAAAGCTCCAGGTCCAGATGCTGTGTGTCCCAGACTACTCAAAGACTGCGGGTCAGTTAGCTCCACAGCTGCACAGGATTTTCCACCAAAGTCTGGAGACACGGAGAGTCCCGATGCTGTGGAAAACATTCTATCTTGTGCCAGTACGTAAAGTTGGTCGTCCAGCAGAGATGAATGACTATAGACCAGTAGCACTTACCTCGCACATTATGAAGACTCTGGAGCGGCTTTTTCTGCACCCCATTAACCAGAGGTGGAACATGGAATGGATCCCCTTTAGTTTGGTTACCATGGGGGGAATTGGAGTGGAGGATGCGATCATCTAGATGCTCCACCAGATCTATGAATATCTGGATACACCTGGCAGCTATTTGAGGGTGATGTTTCTAGACTTTTTGAGCGCATTCAACACCATTCAGCCCTCCATGCTGAAGGAGAAGCTCGATGTCCTGGGGCTGGATCCATCACTCACCGGGTGGACACTACCTGACTGGACGACCACAGTTTGTCAGGCTTGGCAACTGTGTGTCTGATACTGTACTGAACAGCACAGGAGCACCGCAGGGTACAGTGCTGGTGCCATTTCTTTATACTCTGTACACTGCCGACTTTAAGAACAACTCTGAGTCCTGTCACATCCAAAAGTATTCGGATGATAGGGATTATGCAGTTGTAGTGGCATGTTTAAGAAATGAACAAGAGGGAGCAAGTACGTGCGAACGTGTGGCTCCAGAGTGAGTCAAAATTGGGGGTGTGTACCCCTGTTCGGGACCTACACGCACAGAGAAGTCCCGGTGTTCCCCGTGATCACGCAGCAACCAACATTTGTTATTTTAGGCTTTAATTAACCAAATAATTTTATGGCAATAGGCAATCGCCCATTCAATTGATACAACTTAAAAAAGTCCCTGCTTTTTGCCTAGTGTGAGAAATACAGTCGGACTAGATCTAAACCAGAGTCCCGAACCAGCGGGGGCAGCTCCGGTTCAGGCCGGGCTCAGAGGAGCTGGAGCGGGGAGCCTCGACCTGAGGAAGCGCTTTCCCCGGGAAGAACCAAATGCGCCAAGGACGGACGCTCAGAACAACATATAACAAACCAAACTGGACTCACGCTTCTGTCCGGATGCTGCACCACCTCGGAACCTGCCGTGCTTCTTGAGCGCGGAGGACAGGAGCAGCGCGCCCGGACCTGTAGTCCACAGCGCATTCTCGCTTTCCCGCACAGAACCAGCGCGCAGACGACGGAACGTACCCGCTCAGACCCAGTCATTGCGCACTGGTCTTGCTCGCCACCGTTTGGAACCAGCACATGGAGGATGAAGCCTCCGGACCATCTGACCAACGCGCTTGTAACAGAAGACCAAGGACCAGACCCGAGCCCCGTCCTGAGGAGCTGTGTGCTACTGTGAGCACTGTTGGCTGCTGCTGTTACCCGAGCTCTGGGCTGATGCGGTGAGTTTGTACAAAGTTCTACATGTTGCTGTTTTATGAGTTCATGGTGATAATTTGAGATGAGGACGGCCCGTGGTATTAACAGGAACATCGGTGTTGATAACTGGAGTATCACTGTTTTACCGGGGAAACAGAGACACATGAATCGAACCAGTTTTGGTTTGTTTGCCGGTGTGAAAACGGACCACACTGGAGTGTATTTGCTACATAATAACAATTTTATTGCCTGGTGCGGACCAAATAATCGAACTAGCGGTGTGAAAACGACCTTAGTGTGTGATGAACTGTGTGAATGTGAGCTACATCTGAATTTCACCTTCTAGGGATCAGTAGCATATCTATCTATCTATCTATCTGTCTGGTCCGCCGACCAAGAGTTTATTAACAATTTTCGCCTACTTCAGCGCAGAATAGTGACGTTTTTGGTTTGTTCACTGAAGTCGCATGTCAAAAGATCGGATATGTATCGGTTTCAGGAGCACATATCCAAGTGTCCTGGGTCACATTTGAAAAAAATGGATCTGTGTCGTTCAGACTGTCATTAAAAGATCAGATACAGGTCACATAGGGGTCAAAAAATCGGATTTGGGTCACTTCAGGCTGCAGTGTGAATGCAGCCTAAGTTTAATTCAAGATCAACACAGACATGAATGTTAGCCTGGTATTAAAATGTGCTTGTATTAAAAAGTATACTGATTTGTTTTGTTTAAAATATACCAGGGCCTGTAAGGACATTTTGGAAAAGTTACGTGTTCTTATCATATTTGTTAGTGTTCCAAGGTAGAGAATGTTTCAGAGGAAGTCATCTGGACTCTGCTTTTGAAAACAAGTTTAACAGTGAAACTGCCCAGCACTTGTTTACTAGTTAACCTATTATTGTAATTTAGAATCAGAATAAGATTTATTGCTATTGTAAGTGAACAAAATACACAATCACCACTGCTGAGTACCTGCATTTGATAGACTTGACCTCTCACTAGTCCATACTGTTAGAATGCTATTGTAGAGAGCGGTTAATTATCTTAATCCAACATTTCTCTTCTAGGAGGGATTCTTTTTCTTCACCTCTTTTTCAAAGCAGCCCTTCTGCTTAAATTCTGCACCTCACGGTGAATATCGTTGGCAAAGGAGGTGCACCTCAGAGGCTGAATAACTTGTGTTGTTTAGTGTTGTGGTTGTTTGGTCTCCCCAATGTCCTGCTCACTGCATTCTTCTGAACTACAGTCAATATAAAGTGAATATAAAAGTTAATGTCTGTTTTTGTGTTGGCGTCTTACTCTTGTGATGAACCAGTTTCTGTCTCTGTGTTGACTGGTTTAAAATACACAGCAATATTACATTGTTCAATTAGTGGATCTTTGGTGCCTGTTACGTTTTTTTTTGCACAAAATAAATCTGATCACAAAAAAGACCTGTCATTATCAGTGTTTTTTTTTTTTTTAAATGAATGAGAGAAAGGATTTTTTACTCATATTTCGTATTTCCAATATGAGAGGGTGTCCTCCAGCATAGGCCTGTAACGATAATAAACAAATCAATTAATCATACGATAACTTTTAACGAGCATGATAACTTTTCCGACCGCGATAAATTCTGTTTGCATGTTGTTGTTTTTTCCTCGCTCTTTCTCACTCTCAAAGAGGGTGAATGTTAGAAGCTTCTATCGCTCTGATTCCTCTTGTTTAACAAGTGTAATGACGCTTGAACCAACGTGCACTGTGTTTATCAACACAGACGCAGCCCGAGTGCAGAAAGCGCCGCTGTCTGTGCAGCTAAAAATGAAGCCACAACACAAGAGCCGCTGTCAGAACCAAAACAGTTCATTGCCGAGTGCCAAAACAAATCACGATGCTGAATCAACTCAACAGCCACATGCGTCAAATGTTGAGAGTGTGCAAACGATGAGAAGAAATGTTTCAAACCCCAACAGCTGATAAACCCAACCCCGAGTGACAGAACTAGCCCCGCCCCCAGGAGAACCCGAAATCCACTGAAATCCCACAAGACACTGACACGACACCAGACAGGACAGAGACTCCCTCAGAGCCAAACAGGATCCTGTGTCGAGGGTTAATAAAAACATTTAAATGACCAAAATGACGGGGCCACAGCAGCAGCCACAGAGAGAGTGACCACTATATACCATGTCAGTGACTAAAATCACTTTTAAGGGCAATTTTGTTACAGAGACTTAATAAATCCATTTATTTATTGCTTTGGTTGTATTTGGTTCAAAAGTGGTTTATTCAAGTGCATTTTTGTGAACAAGTCCTCGCTGTGAGTCACACACATTAGGCTAGTCCTATGTTAACAAGTCTGTTTTATTTAGGTCTGTTGTTTTTTATTGTCTTTCAGTTCCTGTGTTAAATGTTCTTTAGAGAGTAAGGTTTATTGATCTTTGAAAGGGTGTATTTGCATTTTTATTCATTCATGGTCATTATAACAGTTGAAATTGGTCTCAAAATGTCAATATTATCATTTATCACAATAAATTATTGGTCAGTTAATTGTCCTGCAAAATCTGTTATCGTTACAGGCCTACTTCAGGGGTGTTCTTTCTCACTTTGGCTGTTTATTGCCTTTTTGTGGAGGTTGTTCTGTCAGTGCATGAAAATAGATTATTAAAAAGGAAAAACCATCTAATTATGCCATCATATGCATTTAAAAAATAGATTTGTTTATTGTTTTATTGAATATATATTTAGAAACATATCACGTCTACATTACTTGATTGCTTTAATTAACGTGGAATTGTTTGAAAGTTGGTCCTATTTTAAACCAGTATGATCCCCATCAGTAATACAGGATGTGGTCAGAGGAGAAACACATTTTTATTTTGGCAAAATTACGGTCATGGCCTTCTTCAGAAAAAATGCACAATCCACAAAATACCCAAAAATATACACAAAAAAATACCCCAAAATCCACAAAAAATACACAACATATACAAAATCCACAAAAAATCCACAAAAAAATATTTTATTCTTATTGTTGATTTTTTACATTATTTTTTTAACCCGGAATTTGCCAAAAAAAAAAATAATAAAATAAAATAAAATAAAATTAATTAATTAATTAAAAAAAAAGAAAATAAAAAAAACAAAACAAACAAAAAACATATTTGACTTTAATTTCTGCATAATTCCTACGTAAAATAACAACATTTTCTTATTTATTTCTTGTTTTCTTAATTCTGACGTCAGAATACAGTACTGTGTCGTTTTTGGGTTGCATGGAGGTCCCCCTGCTGGTGGCGCTGTGGTGCCCTATCCTGACTCTCGCATATGTAACACTGTCTTCAACCTAAAAAAAAAAGAACAAAAAACACAAAAATAATAATTACACTAACGCATGTCTCCACTTAAAGGTCATGATGGAACTTTTCTGGTGTTGCCTGAAATGATCTGCACTGTGACCCGAAAATGATGTATCTCTGCGGAGCCAAGCAGGTGACACTACTACACCATGTTACAGGTCAAATCTGTGGAGCGGTGAGCCTGCATTGTTTGCTCTGGCATTTCTAAGCCATAAAAACACATACAGTGAAATGAACAATGCAAAAAACACCAGAAAAGTTAAACAAGAAACAAGACAATATAACAGCACTAATCTAAATAATTGAAAATGATAATAAAATCATTAAACCTTGTTGTCTTCGGGAGAGTCCAGACTGCACAGAGCTCTTCCTGTAAAATAAACACACGGCTTTGTTTCTGTGGAGTTGATAGTGCTGACACTTTTCTGAATGACAGCTGTACCTGGAGTTTGTTTGTCAAACTTCTTGCAGCTCACGAGCACCAGGGCAAGAACAGACACCACAAATGCAATGGAGACCACAATCAGAGCGATGGAGCTTTGACTCAGATGCACTGGAAGATTCTCTGTAATCAGAAACAATTTTATCAACAGCAGAATTGGATTTATATGAAGGTGATAAGAGGAGCTTTTTAATTGGATAAGAACACCCATCAAGAGATATCTTTTTTTTTTTTTTTTACATTTCTGAATATGGCTCAGGTTTGTTTCCTGTAACTGAAGTGTAAGCAGAATGCAACCCCCTTTTATGTTTTGTTTTGTTTTGTTTTGAGCACCATTCTTACAAATAAAGTTCCAGTCATTTGAAACATATTTAAACTAAAGGTGTGAATGTTTTAAATAACTTGGTCATAGTGATTTCTTATAACAATAATAATAACTTTGAATTCTTGCACTCATATGTAGATCATATGAGCATTTGAGTTAATACAAACAGAAAAATGCTCCAAACCACACAGATCTAATCTCTGATCTGCTAAACCAGCAACCAATCACCATGTTTGTGTCGAAGCAGCGTGTTCTAATCTTAAGTCTTATCTGTAAGACTAATACTGGTCTGTGAGACATGAAACTTTGTGTGGTTATAAATAGAAGTGTACTTGTGCAGGGTGTATTTCATTTGAGCTGACTATTATCAGACGCTCTAGTACAGGGGTGTCAAACTCATTTTGGTCTGGGGGTCATATCCAACCTACTTTGATCCCAAAGAGGCCAGATCAGAAAACTCATGTCATATAAACCCCAAAAATAACAATAAGTTCAAATATTTGTGCAGAGAAACACAAATCTATTACAGAAATCTTTTATTAATTGATGAACTCTTTCTTTTACAAAATATTATAATTTTATGAACAACCTGAAACTTTTAAAAAATACAATTTCAACACAATGTTTTAACATGAACTTGTATGTAAAAAGGAATTAGTCAATTTTTCTTGGAAAATCCTGCACTCGGCTCCACTTTTCTCATTTTTCACATTTTTCTGATGAGGGTGTCACGGTCAACAGTCAAAACGATCGTCCTTTAAGAGCGTTTGGAAAGAGACAAGTCTTCATTTGTGCTGCTCTGGTGGGAGGGGCCACGTACAGAGACGCTGGAGACGCTGCTATTCTAAGAAAATTACCAATATTTTACTAGAAAATATAATTAAAATATTTTAGTAGAAAATCAGCCGAGGGCCAGATTAAAGGTCTTGGAGGGCCGGATCTGGCCCCTGGGCCTTATGTTGTATGTATGACACCCGTGCTCTAGTAGATTCAAATCAGATCATTTCATTTCATATATGTGTTTTCATATAAGGGCAGTGTTCTGTGGAACAGTTTACCACTCACAGTTAGAGACTCCCCCAGCTTTACGACTTTTAAAGGCCATTTAAAGACATGGCTCAGGTCGACACAGGTGTGTGATCATTTACGATAGTTTACAATGTGCTATGTGCAAAGTGCAATATGCTATTTATTAAGTATTTTAATATTTTAATTACGGGCAATATGTAATATACTAAAGAATTTTACCTTCAAGGGCACGTGCAATACATTGTAGAAAAGCACTTTATAGTAATTTTAGCAATGGGCTGTGTGCAATATCTATACACTGGCATCTTAACTAAACAAGGCAGCGTGCAATTTTGATCAAATAATCCAACATCCTTTGCTTGACCTGTGTCTGTGATCTTGTGACTGACCAGCTCTTTGTGTCTGTCTGTTTGTATTATTGTATTGTCTGTCGGGGTGTATTGTTTTTACTGTGCATTTGTTTTATGATTACATCAACCTGCCTAGGGACAGCAGATGGAAATTAGCCTTGGGCTATAATCTGATAACATATTTACATATCATGTATATGTTCATTAATGTGGTTTGTCCCTATTTTTAAATAAATAAATAAATAAATAAAATAAAATAAAATAAAATAAAAATAAATAAATAAAAAAATAAAATAAATTTTGAGAACGTTGAGATGTACGATTGTTCTGAGATGGTTTATCCAAAGAGAAACATACACACACTAAAGAGCCTACGAAATACTAAAGTCAACCAAATACTAAAAGGCCTATTATGTGTTATTGGAAGAAAGATGATATATCTACTGCAAGTCAGTGAATACAGCAGATGCCCTCCCACTGGACAAGATAACATCTGTACTGAAAGGCAAACACAAGGTCCTTTTTTGGGGTTTACTGATTGTATGTCAGGGTGGCTTTGGGTGTGTGATGTGTTCTGTGTGCGCTGATATATTCCTAGACTTTTGGAATATGTTGTGAATCATTTAAGTAACAGCAAAATTTGATTTATACATTTGCCATCTATATGTTGAAAAATTGCATCTTTATAAAACTCAAAAGTGGTATTGTTTGATGTTGATACAAATATTCTGGTATCAGGTGAGGATACATAAATATAGGCGAGTTTCACCTGACGTCATTGTTATTAAAAGCCCGCGTTGCATGCTGGGAAATATTTTGGTCGGAAGCAAGAAACACGGTAGCGGTCAAACACAGTGTGTAACCTCACGTATTTATCCCCGATAATGGTAAATTCCTGCTGCATTATCAGATGCACAAATAGAAGCACGGAAAAAGGAAAATGTCTTTTTCATATTCCGAGTGAAAAGAACCACTAATGGTGAATTAAATGACTTTCAAACATCCGCAGAGCAAACGTAGAAGATCCTAACAAACCGTGGACTCCAACAAGTTCAACAACACATCGAGACTCTTGGAGGTTTTCATCTTTTCTGCTGTGAATGGCCCAGGAGTTTCCACCAAGAAATTGTGGATATCGCCCAAGTGAATATTTGTCCAGGTAGTTGGCAATTCTGACCAGAAATTTGGTTTGGTCCAACTTTTGTAGGGGTTGAAAAGGGTGATTTGGCTCCATCGATGCTTATGACCAATTTCTGGTCAAATGGTCTTGGGTCCTCTGCCGTTAGAGTGGATAAATAACAGGGATCAATACCCTTTACGTGCTTTCTCGCTCCGTCCGTCATGTTGAATTAGTGTTTCTTGCCGCCGACCACAATAATTCCCAGCATGCAACGCGCGCTTTTGTCAACAATGAAATTCGCCTATACAGCACCTCAACAATCACCTCGGATCAAATTTAGCAATGGTCTGACTATAATAAGCTCTCACTAAATCTAAATAAAACTAAAGTTGTGTTACTGGAAAAGTCAAACCAAATGATTCAAATCCAAGTGCAAATTGTTGGCGTAAGTGTGGAAAGAGTAACTGAAAACAAATTCCTTGCTATAATAAAAATGAAATTAATGAGTGTGTATACATGCACATCAGTAACCCGGTTATTAGCCATACCCCGGTTATGTCAGTATTCGGGTTACTGCGTATACATGCGCACTGAGAAACCGGGACACTCATATTCGCGTATACATGATCAAATGGAGTATCCCGGTTTCTTGACATAATCTTACAAATGCGCAGGCGCAAAAATTAACTTAAATCAATTTCATAAACCAGGAAAAATACAAACCGTGAGCTCCTTTAGCATAAGAAGCTAAGGAGCTACGAGATCTCCCACAATCCACTGCGCAGATTCTTCATTAAAATCTTCTGCATAAATAAACTCGACTTTACAACATATAAACCATAAAGACTATAGAGCTACATCAGCCCGTTTGATCATATAATTCAGCTGTGATCACATTTGTTTACGTTTTACAGAAACGAAACTTAAGACCGTAGGCTAATTAGCATAAACTGTTAGCGGCGATAAAAACAACTCGCTCCTTGCGCCGCTGATGCGATCAGTTTCTTTTGGAGTAAATCACACGACTCTGTGGATTATGTGTGTTATTTCTGTGACAGAAGAGGCGCTAATGTTGGTAAGTGTGTTCCGTGCGTATACAGTATAGGAGATAGTTCATGTTTTAGCTTTTCAGTGATCACACGAGTGCAGGTCGTACGAGTGCAGATTGTACGTGTGCAGGTTTAGCGCAGCTCTTTATTTTACAGTCATTTCACTCGTTTGGTCACTTTATTTATGTTGGTCAATTTATTTATGTGACTACTGTTGTGGTGAAAGGCTGGAAAGTGTCTTTTGGACGCATGCGCACTCAACTTTATGTTGCAGTAACCGGGATACTGCGTATACATGCCACAAGTATCCCGGTTATTATCGGAATAAACCAGCTACAGTAACCCGGTTTCTAATAACCAGGATACTGCCATAACCGGGTTACTGAAACCGGGTTACTGCGTATACATGCACCATGAAGAAACCGGGATACTCAAAAAACCCGATCATAACCGGGTTATTGATGTGCATGTATACGCACTCAATAATTATGTCAGTCTTGATAAAAGCAAAGCAAATCCTGAACAAAAAAAAATAAAATCACTTCTTTCCCTGCATATTCCCTCATTCTGCTACACTTATCAATGTGTTTAGAGTTACGGAGGAACAAAAATAGGTTTACAGCCACTGCGTGTAATACAGAAACATACTCTAAAACAGGAGTGTCAAACTCAAATTCAAAGAGACCAAAATTAAAAATTGGAACTAAGTCGTGGGCCAAACTAAATATTTATTGAAAAATTTCAACAACATCTGCATGCTTTCTGTTCTTTCAAGATATGTAATGTTAAACCTTTTCTTTTAAATACATGTTTAATAATACTTTTGCTTAAATGCTGAATCCAGAACAATCAGAATATAAAATAATAACAACATTTTAAATAAATAATGTGTCTATAGTCAATCTGTAGCCGGTGGGCAGCTCTAATACAGATTTGATATGATCTCAAATATAATTATATCGCAGGTCAAATTTGGTCCCCGGACCTGAGTTTGACATGTCTGCTCGAAGAATTAGTCACAAAGCAAGTTTTAATGTGTATACTAACAGAACATAATATCCACTATTCACTAGTTTAAAAGGATCAAAGTAGATGATCTTTTGGTATTTAAAACTGCACAGATTTTTTAAAGCTGGTAATAAAGCCAAACACAGTCCATGTTCAGTGATATATATGATGATGAACAGCTGAATATATATGTATAAAGTGTACATTTGAATGTAAAAAATCTGCCCCTGTTTCCCTCCGTTACTACTTGACCGGACCCAAATGTTCATTATTTATGACTAAATGAAACATATGCAGTAGTGATGGAGGTTCAAACTCATCTGATCTTATATAACAGTAAACTTTTCACACCAAGTACCATCTAAAATCATATTTGGCTTTCAGAGTACTGTTGGATCTAAAGACTAAACCACGGATAAGGTGGTTCTAAATAATGATTTACACAGGAGCACAAAAACATAGATAGATTTGTCTCTAATCATAATAAATACTTAAACTACAGCCACTGGATTGTCTACAATTCCACAGAGCCTCATTGTTTGTATAATGACAAATAAGAGACTTGACTTACTGTACATTTCTATCCTTGTTCCAGAACCAAGCATCGTGTTTCCACAGGCAGTCACCACACAGAGAAAAGTCCCATTTTCAGCTGAACCAACTTCTGTCAGGGTCAGGTTATGAACACATGAAGTTTCTCCAGCGTCCTCACAGTTCATACTGGTGTTCTCAAAGTTCCATGAAACAGTTTGAGAACCACTTTTAATCCAAGTGACACTGGTATGTTCTTGTGGACAGAGGCTGGGGTTAAATGAACAGCTGAGAGACACAGAGTCTCCAGGCTGCACTCTGATATATTCTGGACTCTGGAGCACAGACTGCATGAGCTTTGACTCTCCTTCAACCACCACAACTGTTCCTGATCCAAACTCCACATCTTTCTGGCTCAAAACTCCACAGTAGTACGTACCAGCATCGCCCCACTCTGCAGCCAATATCGTCAAAGTACTGGAAAAACCGGATGACTTAACAGAGTAACGACTTCTAAACTTTTCAGAGTCTATACTGTAGCTCGACATGAGCTGCTGCAGTGTCCTGTTGTTGCTCAGTTTGTACCACATAATGGTTTCCAATTTTTCATTAATGATGCACATAATTTCAACCTCTTTCTCCAAATTTCACTTTATGAATCCTCGGTTGAATGATACTCCCCCAAGTCCCACCTGAGAAGATAAAAACTATGCTTATTCTGTTTTAAAATATAGAAAATCTTGTTAAAATCTTAAAGGATTAGTTACTTACATAGAGACCACAGCAGGAAAACACTGAAAGCATTCAGAATCATCATCGTGTCTGTTGGTGAACGACGAAGACTGTGACTGTCCGACGTCAGTGGAGACTATATGAAGGTGAAAAGAGGAGCTTTCTGATTGGATAAGAACACCCATCAAGAGATATCTGATAGTGGAAATTTTGCAGTCAGCCTATCTTTTTTTTTTTTTTTTTTTTAACACTCTGAATATGGCTCAGGTTTGTTTCCTGTAACTGAAGTGTAAGCAGAATGCAACACGTTTTTTTGTTTTGTTTTGTGCACCATTCTTACAAATAAAGTTCCAGTCATTTGAAACATATTTAAACTAAAGGTGTGAATGATCATAGTGATTTCTTATAACAATAATAATCTTGAATAATTGCACTCATATGTAGATCATATGAGATTTAGAGTTAATACAAACAGAAAAATGCTCCAAACCACACAGATCTAATCTCTGATCTGCTAAACCAGCAACCAATCACCATGTTTGTGTCGAAGCAGCGTGTTCTAGACTTAAATCTTATCTGTAAGACAAATACTGGTCTGTGAGACATGAAACTTTGTGTGGTTATAAATAGAAGTGTACTTCAGCAGGGTGTATTTCATTTGAGCTGACTATTATCAGACGCTCTAGTAGATTCAGATCAGATCATTTCATTTTGAGAAAGCTGAGACCCACATGTTTGTTCTGAGATGGTTTATCCAAAGAGAAATATACACACACTAAAGAGCCTACCAAATACTAAAAGGCCTATTATGTGTTATTGGAAGAAAGATGATAGATCTACTGCAAGTCAGTGAATACAGCAGATGCCCCTCCATTGGACAAGATAACGTCTGTACTGAAAGGCAAACACAAGGTCCTTTTTTGGGGTTTATTGATTGTATGTCAGGGTGGTTTTGGGTGTGTGATGTGTTCTGTGTGTGCTGATAATCATGCAATATTCCTAGACTTTTGGAATATGTTGTGAATCATTTAAATAACCTGGTCAGATTGAAAGCTTGTATCTAATCTTTTCTGTAAGACTGGAGTCTGTACGACAGGAGTCTCCAGCCTTTTTCCTCTGGTGAGTTAAATTTATGTCACAAAAATGACAGAGAGCTACTAGTTTCAGGGGTCACAAAAAGTGTTCTTGTGTACATTGGTAACAGGCATTTATTGAATCATATTGTACTTACTCAGCATTATACCTGTAATTCAGAAATCCCTTGGCGAGCTACTTGGAAGGGGGTGGAGAGCTACCGCTAGCTCCTGAGATACAGGACATAGAATCTTTCTGTAGTCATAAATAGAAGTGTACACTTGACAGGGTTCAATCTCATTTGAGTTGCCTACAGATGAGCATTTAAGGCAGTGTGAAATTGAAATATATCATTTTTTCAATGGGCAAAACTGGCCTGTGCTGTTGAGCAGGAGCCAGGAGAGAGGCCCGGGCAGAAGCCGATGGGTCACTGTGGACTTCCTTGTTCTCTTACTGCCTGGGCAAACTGTCAGGGGAGATCACTCAGACCAAACCCTAACTGCAAGTGCAGTGTGGTGCAAGACTTAGACTTAGTCTTTAAAATCAATGAGCTCGGCCACACTGACCTGGGTAGAGCACAAGAGCATGTCTGGGTAAGACATGTCTCTGTGGAAAGAATCAGCCTGGCTGTTTTCACCTTATTAGACATAATCACATGAACCCACATGTGAAACACTAAACATTTATTCATTTTCTTCCTCATAAAAAAGACAAAAAAACAAACAAACAAACAAAAAAATGAAAATGAGATGTACATTAACAAAACGAACTTATGCATGTACAAACAAAACATCATCCTCTCTTTCCACATTCAGTGTAGGAGTCAGACTCCCACTGCACCACTTCATTCCATTTTACAGTTTTTCACTTGAGAATACACTACAACTGTGTTGAGACTGTGGAGGATGGAGGTCCCTCTGCAGGCGGCACCTCGGGGTGCTGTCCTAACTCCAGCATATGTAACACTGTCTTCAACCTGAAACAAAGACACACACATGTGTAAACAGCACAGTGCTGGTCAATATTCTTGCCCTGCACTAATGTGAATATGATTGTAAATAGTATAAAAATGATTTGACCTGGTTGTGTTGAGGAGAGTCCAGACTGCACAGAGCTCTTCCTGTAAAATAAACACACGGCTTTGCTTTTGTGGAGTTGATAGTGTTGACACTTTTCTGAATGACAACTGTACCTGGAGTTTGTTTGTCAAACTTCTTGCAGCTCACGAGCACCAGGGCAAGAACAGACACCACGAACGCAACAGAGACCACAATCAGAGCGATGGAGCTTTGACTCAGAGGAACTGGAAGATTTTCTGCAAACAGAAATATATATAATCTGAACACACATCAGTCCAGAAAAATGCTGTACTAGGAACAGCAAAGATACTGGGCAGAACTCTCACCCTCATCCAGGCCTCTGGTGAGAGGTCAGGATTTAATTGTTCATGCTTGCTTTCTGGAGAGTGAAAGAAACCCACAAGAAAATAAGATCACAAAACACAAATGCTTTTGTTAAAGTGTTGATTTTTTTTTCTCTGTTTTTATTTATATTTTTGGGCAAATCAGCTCACAGCAGGAACATGTCTTTTTCTATGTTAGTATGGCTTTAAAGTACATGTGGCAGATTTTTATGATTCTTTAATTTTGATTTAATTTGGTGATATTATAACTATTATAAATATAAATTATTAGTAATATAATTACTATTATAATTATAGTGAATACAGTGCGGATGAATGAAACAGCGGGGAAACGGGGAGTGAACTCGTGTGTGCGGGATGAATCAGTGTGTGTGTGCGCGGGCACGTCAGTGCAGGCCGCGGTTATGTGCAGGGGGAAAACGCCACCGAAAATCATAGATGGACTGGTTCCGTCACAGTGTGTAATACAGAAACTTACTCTAAAACAGGAGTGTCAAACTCAAATTCACAGAGACCAAAATTAAAAACTGGGACTAAGTCACGGGCCAAACTAAATATTTATTGAAAAATTTCAACAACATCTGCATGTTTTCTCTTCTTTCGAGATATGTAATGTTAAACCTTTTCTTATTAAATACATGTTTAATAATACTTTTGCTTAAATGCTGAATCCAGAACAATCAGAATATAAAATTAAAAACAACATTTTTAATAAATAATGTGTCTATAGTCGATCTGTAGCCGGTGGGCAGCTCTAATACAGATTTGATATGATCTCAAATATAATTATATCGCAGGTCAAATTTGGTCCCCGGACCTGAGTTTGACATGTCTGCTCGAAGAATTAGTCACAAAGCAAGTTTTAATGTGTATACTAACAGAACATAATATCCACTATTCACTAGTTTAAAAGGATCAAAGTAAAAAGTTTTGGTATTTAAAACTGCACAGATTTTTTTAAAGCTGGTAATAAAGCCAAACACAGTCCATGTTCAGTGATATATATGATGATGAACAGCTGAATATATATGTATAAAGTGTAAACCTCTGTTTGTTGTTATATTAACTTGCCATTTTAACTTTGTGAAGTGGTGAATTTTTCAGTTTTTTGGTCATAGTGTCAATAATTGTAAATGTAAAACTGAGATGACTCTTATGTTAAAAATGGACCCGGTCAATCAGAAGTAAACAGCAAGGCCAAGTTAATGCATCTGATATAAAAATGTATTGAACAGATACATATGTACTCTAGTTTATGAAACTGTTGACCTTTTTCTGTACCATTTTTGGTTCTAGAGTTCCATATGTTTTAAACAGACCATGTATGAAACATGGAACAAAAATTATTTCCCAAATTTCAAAGACCTGCAAATCATGTAAATAAATGGATGTATTTCATCATATCTTGTGTTATTCCATCTTGGAACTGTTGATGAAGATACATGATTTTTTTTTTTTTAAATGTATTTAAAATGATAAAAAATTTGCTTGGAAGGACTGACATATTTTATAGAAATAGTTTCCTTTCATTTTGAAGTAATATTAAAATATTCAGGAGAAAAAAAGCAACAAATGATGTAAAATCCTGCACCTTCTACTTATTTGCACAATTTTCCCTCCGTTACTTTTCCCTCCGTTACCATGACCTTTCTTAATAAAAAATCTCATTACTCAAAAAGTAAGAGGTTTTTCAACCCAATCTTGTACCATATGGTAGAAAACTATATGAAGCAAATATTCAAACCAGTTTGTTAAGGATATGTAAGTCAGAACCACTAGTTATCACTGTTTGGATTTATTGTCCAAAAAGTGCTGCATATTTCATTCCCTCCGTTATCGACATGAGTTTTACATTTTTTGTCAACAACTTGAAAGAATATCACAGGTTTAACTTGACCCTGTTGGAGTGTAACTCTGTCCTACATTCTGATACTTTACTTATTTCAATAGTCCCTCTAGTTTCTGAATAAGAGACATTTGAATGTAAAAAATCTGCCCCTGTTTCCCTCCGTTACTACTTGACCGGACCCAAATGTTCATTATTTATGACTAAATGAAACATATGCAGTAGTGATAGAGGTTCAAACTCATCTGATCTTATATAACAGTAAACTTTTCACACCAAGTACCATCTAAAATCATATTTGGCTTTCAGAGTACTGTTGGATCTAAAGACTAAACCACGGATAAGGTGGTTCTAAATAATGATTTACACAGGAGCACAAAAACATGGATAGATTTGTCTCTAATCATAATAAATACTGAAACTACAGCCACTGGATTGTCTACAATTCCACAGAGCCTCATTGTTTGTATAATGACAAATAAGAGACTTGACTTACTGTACATTTCTATCCTTGTTCCAGAACCAAGCATCGTGTTTCCACAGGCAGTCACCACACAGAGAAAAGTCCCATTTTCAGCTGAACCAACTTCTGTCAGGGTCAGGTTATGAACACATGAAGTTTCTCCAGCGTCCTCACAGTTCATACTGGTGTTCTCAAAGTTCCATGAAACAGTTTGAGAACCACTTTTAATCCAAGTGACACTGGTATGTTCTTGTGGACAGAGGCTGGGGTTAAATGAACAGCTGAGAGACACAGAGT